AKAAACTTTCGTCTTTATCTAGTTTTGGTATGAAAAGTTCTTGGACATTGATAATATTCCCGAGACGTATTTGGCGATCAAACATGRACGGTGAGTCAAAGACATAATTTGTTTACAAAAAGCAAAATTCAGAGTTTAAATTAGTCTTACACATCATTCCTTACCGTTGTCTTGATTGGATCAATGCAGGCTCTGTTAATAGATTCCTTAAAATACTCTTGTCAGTTTCGTCTATTTATGACGATATCAACTACGAAACAACTGTCTGGAAGGGGCCTTCTTTACTTGACAAACAAATAATTAGTATTGTTTTTTTTTTCTTCGAATCTGTGAATAGCGTCAACAGTGCGTAAAGAACAGGAAAAGGCAAGTTAAGAGTTTCGTATCATATTTAGATGAAAATTGCATTTAGTAGGCCGTTTTGATTTTTCAAGAAGAGACAGCATTTGGTTCATTCACTTTACGTTTTTATTCTTTATGCTATATCCATTTGGATATTGGTATTGGTATTGGAAGGATTAAAGATATTATTATAATTATTATTATTATTATTATTCACATCTCGATTACATCATACTTTATTATTCACTGAATATTTATTGCTTACCATTCGATGACGTCAATACTCAAAATACAAAATAAATTGAATAAATTGAATAAATTGATTAAGAAACACATTGTGCCTACTGACGTTGCGATTTGTATTCCGAGCTATTGCTTACAGCACATGCTCCGCTATACTGCACTGCGCACAATTTTTGACCAGCGAGAGCACGCACGACAGCTAGCGGAATCTATGTTACTTTAAGAAAATGACCATATTCAAATCATTCTCTTTCCCAGACCTCCTCGGTCAGTCGTTTCTGTCTCTTCGAAGAGGAATGGCTGCTTATATTTTAAAATTCTTTTGTTGTGAACTGTTTTTGAGATAACTGTTGAGATACTAGCAGCCAGTTCACACACTAGACTGTGCATTGAACTAATTTAGTTAAACATTTAATGAGGTTCGCATTATGCAACGCATCATGAAAAAAACGAACCCCCCCCCCCCCCATAAGGCAATCTGTGGATCCATAATAAACCGTCATAAGTCATTGACTATGCTCTACAACATCCTACATTAAATATCTGTATATTGCCACTTCATGCTAAGTGTTTGTGAATGTTTGCGAAAGTATTTAATTTCTGCGCATGCGCAATTWAGTGTTCAGAGCGAGACCGGAAGCAAACTAAAGAACGAAACTAGGCCTTCTTTGTGTTTGACAAAAAAATTGCATTTATAATGATGTATAATYTAAAAAATATATAAAATAATGCAATGACAGTRAATCAATACAGTTCTMAGAAAAACAAGGAACACTTTTACAMAATATGGGCCAAGAATTCSTTCCTTCTTGTATYCCTGTATTACCTGCAATACTGATTTGTACTTTCGTTTCCGGCTTTTAATGTAATATAATAYAATGTAATAATCCCAGTGCATTGTATATTGAAAACTAAAGGTGATTATAGTACAAAGAACACAAATCTCTCTGAAGCTATTCAAGAGAGAATTAATCACTCCAACCCATAACCAAACGCTCTTAGTCAAGAAAGGTTCGCACAATTTATTGAAGAAAACCCCAGTATCAGATTTTCAGGTATTATGAAGCGATGTTGGCAGTCTATGATTGTTTTGCTGTCGGCCAATTTCGTCAGAACATCTGTACATCAATAGTCGAAAAGTTAGGCGCTGAACCTCAGTCAATATTTCCTGTGGTAGCTAAGTTAAAAGTTGTATCTGTCAGTGAACATTTCACTTTCAATTTTGAGATTTAGTACAGATGTCAGTCCTTTATTGATCCCTACCACGAAAAAACTCTGTAATTCTGAAAAATGTCAACCTTTTTGAAGTGCAATCTTAGTAATATTGAGTTAAATGTTTGGGCAGCAAACTTTTGCGAGTATCAAAAAGTACCATAAGTAGATTTTCCAAATAAGAATCAAATCAAAACTTCAATATTTTGGAAAATTTAAATCGAAATTTAATAACAGAAAAAAAGATTGTACACAAGGGACACTGACTCTACTGATCATGATATGAAACCTGACGGGAAAACCCCCTCCATGAATGATGAATAGGTATTACAACAACAAAAACTTACTACTGCGTGACGGGGACTGATATAGTAAAATGTTGTCCTCGCTACGGACGGCGTTGGGTTGTTATATTCAATATTTTGAACATGTGAGAGAGTTTTATTTCCTGGAAAGGATGTCTCATTACTATATTGCCTTCAATTGTTTTCAATCTTGGTATAGATCATGATGTGGTTTATTATCGTAATCCTAACGCTGCAATCCTGTACGAGCGCCAAGTCACCTGATGGTAACAAGACGTCTTGTCCACAACCAAAAGTAGGACACTGTATCTGTGTGTGGAACRGACAGTACTGTACAGTCAAGTGTCAAGGTCTGGATGTTGTCCCGGATRCATTGCCAACACAGACGACTCATCTGTAAGTAAGATTTTAAGCTGTTGATCAATCAGAAACACCATAACATAGGAATAGGGTTTTAAGATCAAGTACTTCTCCTACGCCTTCCCCGGGATTTTTCGTTGTAACTGTTTCTTGGTCTTTTTTGTTTTATAATTGTTTTCTTTATACAACAACAACAACAACAGTATATTTATTTTTATCAATCCCGAGGGATCATTGATATATTCTTCGTGCTTCTTTACTTCTGACTCTCGGATCGTGTTGTTTTTCAACATTGAGGTATCGAGCGTTCATTAAAAGCTTTTTAAAGCTTTTAAGCTACATCATACTCCTTCGCTTAAAATTCCATCGATAGTCAGGTTTCGGTTGTCCATCGCTCGAATAGGCACATAACAAAGCTTCGAGACGCTCATTTGTGAGAGATCTTTTCAACACTCGAMGATAAAATCGGTGTCTCCGAGCTCCCCTGTAATATCCTTTATATATTTTATGCAAAATGATGGTGATTTAATATAATGATGATAACGATGATAGATTATTTTCTTAAATTCAGAACAATGGTAATGGGGACACTGAAGGAATTCCCAAAAAACTACTTAAAAAACCTGAAAAACCTGATGAAACTGTAAGTAACGTTGCATCATTGAACGCAATCAGAACTATATTTATATATAATGTACTTCTGCCCGCAATCTTTCATGTGTTGCGGCATTAAAAGTCTTTTTTCAAATGACTCGTGCTGAATGTACATATATACCTAATATAAATTCTACTTTACAGTTTCGGTGTAGTACTAATCTAACAACATGTCCACTGTATCTCTTTTAGTGATCTGAGTAGCAACAGGATATCTAATAGTTTCTACATACCAAGACATGTTGTAGTAGTGTAAGTCCATTCAATATATCCATGAAATGGTTTGGAAACTAAATTAAGCAAATTAGTGTGAAATAGAGATTGCACTTAAACCAGGCAACTGTACAAACTAAATAGTGCTATTTAGTTGTACTTTGTACAGTTGCACGGTTTAAGTGCGAGCACTACTTTGCCTTCTATTGTTTAATGTGCAACTTTATATATTGAATGCACTCTAATAAGTTTTTCTTATGTATGACAAATGGACTGACTGACGGACAGACAGACGAAACGTGGAGAGGGAGGTGGTTATGATCTGTGACTAGCTCACGGTCATTGTTAAGAAAGGTGACGTCAGTTTACACTTAACTTAATGAAGCAGTAACTTGTAATGTCTTATTCTTACAGAAATCTCAATAGTAATTTGCTAAGACCATCAATGCTCCATGGAATGTTCYACAACCTCACTTTGCTTAGAGAATTGTAAGTTAAGACGCTTGTTGAAATACTAGCCAGTTGTGTCTACTGCTCTTAAATCGTTAAAAAACCTCAACGACGTGTGGCCCGACGCCATTTCAAGATTTGGAAGTGTCAATGGCAAGGTTTGCAATATATCAACGATTACTCAATTTTCTCGCAAACTTTGTTTATCGTCTTGTTATAGATTTTTAACAATGAATCCCTTAAGTGATGGTCTGATACCAGGAACATTTGCTGGTCTGGATAACCTTTTTAATCTGTAAGTATTAAGCTATTTATTGAAAGGCTTTTGCAGTAGCCATCAGCTTTAATAGCCTGTTAATCAGCTGGTGTTGTTATCACAGCGTCGTTTTTTTGTTTGGATAGTTAAGTAAAATAATCTTAATTTGTTTGTTGTAGTGAAGTAGCTTTTGCTGGACTTAAAGATTTACAAGTAGGAACATTTCATGGTCTGAAAACCCTGAAAAAACTGTAAGAAGATTTCTAGGAATAAATGTTTTTTTACTGACTAATTATGGACTTTTTCTTAATCCATGTCAGTAACGTCAGTTTTAATCAAATCTCGATCCTACGAAGAGGCGTCTTTAATGGAATTGGTGAGAAGAACAAGCCTTCACTAAATCAAATGTATGTATACTAGCTATATTTCAATGGATGGTGCGWTCCTCTAGATGGCTTTGGAGAGTCAGTCCAAGAGTCCACACTATAGAGGGCGTCTCTTTAACTGTAAAAATGCATACGTGCTACTTAAGGAAATTGAGGACTATGCTTTACGATGGTCGAAGTACGTATTGTGCTCAACATAATTTTATCCCTCAAATCTGTTCTTAGGCGTGTTTTTCGGTGCAACCAGTTTCCGCAGGCAGCTATCACAGAATAATGACCTCGATTCAAATACTCTATTATTACTATTTATGAAATGTCTGATTCTCACACAAGCCAAAGCCGAAGCTAATYGCGTGTTTGATTCACAGATATTTCAATGACAATGCCATCTCCAATATCGAGGATGGAGTGTTTGAAGGACATTCTTATATCACGGAAATGTAAGGTTTTAATGACAGTATTTACATATTATTTATTACAATTCGAARTTTTTATTATTCTTGTTACTATTATTAATCAAAACATATTGTAGTGGTATTTTGCGCTTCCTTGAAAAAAATATAAATACKAACACTCAGTGCTTTTTGCTGCTTTTGGAATGTACTTTTTTTATTTGTGTCTTTATTTTTTTACCTAATGTTGTGTTTCGTATCGCAGTCATCTAGCTTCCAATAGGTTGACATCGATTCCAGATTTAAAAGGAGTGAGCTCGTATGTCCAAAGACTGTAAGTATGTTGACCAAACCATGATGAAATATTTGTACAAGTCGAACCTCTGTAATAGGCGCTAGCTTTGGAGACCTGATATAGGTCGACCGTTTAAAAGGGGTCAGGTCTAAAGAAAAAGTAAACATCAACTGGGTCTAGTCCGACCGAAAAGGGCAACAACTGATAGCTTTTGCTTTCATTTCATATTGAGCGCAGTCGATTGGCAGGGAATCTCATCTCTGATCTATCGTCTCTTTCCAAGTCTGGAATCAGGACCATCAGAACACTGTAAGCCAGTCATCATATATTAGACTTATCAAGTAAACTGTGGATCGATGTCACACATCCACACATCGATTCTGATTGGCTACTTACTATGGCTATTTGGGTTCGTCGAATGAAGCGAAAATAGTCAAAAACATGTCTAGAAAAACTTTTCTTTGCGTTCTTTTTTTCAAATTTGTCATATACTATGGTGGACCACTCTGTTAGACCATTCGGGCTCGGATCAATTCGAAGTCTATCTTTTATTTTCAAATAGCGATCTGTAATCCCCGATGGACAAAGCGTTTTTATGCATCTGTATATGTAGGACCTTTTCTTATATCTGTATATTTGTAGGCATTTGGAAGAAAATAATATATCAGTGATCCCCCTTGACACGTTCAAGAATAACAACATTCTATTTGTCTTGTAAGTATAATTACCTATTTATCACGAAGGTGATCTGGGGGGGGGGGGGGGGGGGGGGGCATGTGGTGCACAAGGAATGATGTACGTAGGGATGTGCATAAGGTTCACAGCTTTGAATTATTTAGACATAAACATTTTATTATTCTTACGTCACAGGGATTTGTCTTTCAATTCTATCCAGAGGATCCCAGCGAGACTGTTCCAGGGCTCATACATGAGCCAGTTGTGAGTATCGCGTATTTGTTGGGTACCCTGTGCAATGTCATACCGAAAAAAAACACTGTTGACTTATGAATAACTTCATTTACAGAAATTTGCAGAACAATAGAATTAGCATTCTAGAAAAGGACAGTTTTGCTGGGCTACCAAATCTTCGAGGATTGTAAGTGTAATTATGATGATTTTAAGAAATAAGAATTTTTTTTTTTAATAAATTTAATAAATATTTTACAAACACCATAAATTACAGACATATTACACTTCGTTACATTATACATTTACAATTAAGGAGAAGAACACCATAGGTGATCTCCTCTAGATTCTATTAACATAAAATAGAAAATAGACTAATTGAAATAAAGTAATAACAAAACAAAGGTACATGAGAAAAGAGATGGCTATATATGGCTATGTCTTAGATAATTATCTTATCTATTTATCTATTTAAGAAATAAGAATATTTTTAACACATTACTAATGTTGTGTATGATGCTATGTAGTGATGGTAAATATATTCCATTTTGTGTACGCTCTGATTGATTGCTTAGTTCTTTGCTCTTTTACACGTGTCTTACCAATTTCTCACTAACTTTTTTCCGCTTCAGGTTCATGTTACGAAATGAACTACAGTTTTTACCCGACTCTTTGTTTGAAAACATGGGAATTGATACCCTGTAAGTATAATTCCAAATGCAAACAAAGGATTAGAAACATATAGTCATCCGTTTTCGACTCAAAGTTACAACATACAATGAAACCTTTATTTGGGGGTTTGAAGGTCACCTCCTTAAATTTGCCAAAAGTCAATTCTACTATATATTTACTTTAAACCTGATATCTATTTCAAAAACGGTCAAACACACAGYATTAAGCGGGCACCTACAGTTTTCACCCACGCACTGAAAGAGGTTCAATTGTAGTTTGTTATTGTTGATGTTGTAGTTGTAATTGTTGCTGCTGYYGTCGTCGTCGTCGCTGTTGTTGTTGGCAACTTTGAAATTCATCCCCAAAATACATTTTTCCTCTCTTGCAGATTTTTAAGTGAAAAYAATTTTACCAAGCTAACGGGACGACCTTTTAAGGGAATGAATAAAACCAACCTGGACATGTAAAGACAAAATTCTCAAAATAACGATTTTATTATAGATTTTTGTATTAATAGTTAGCATATATTTCATATCATTGACAGACAACTATTCTCCAACACGATCCATGAAATTGATGACAGTTTTTTCAGTGATATAAAAGGCACATCGAAAATGTAAGTTATTTCGTTGTATTACTTTCCTGTAATTTTAGTATAGATATTTTATGAACCCGTTCGGTCTCATCATCTATGGTCAATCATTTAATACCAACTATTGTTCTCAATCATCCATTGCATCATCCTATGCAATTCCTTTATTTAATAGAACACTAGACTGTAAGAACCTCAAAGATCTTCCTCGTCTTCCAGTTTCATCGCAAGTGTAAGTCAACACGATAACTATCACGTAGCCCAGGCACAGTATAACTGATAACCAAATTTATGCAGTAATGCATGACCATACATGTTATGCTGTAATTTTAGGCATTGTACAGAACACTATTCCCAACAATGGATCGAAGGACTTCGTAAAACTGTGGCCAAGTCTCTTTCAAAATCTGGGTTCCAATGTTTTAGAATCTTTTCAGAATATTATCGTTGTATACCATGYGGGCCAGGTACATATGGTGGTGATGGAAAATGTCGAAACTGTTCTGCGGGTAAGTGAAATCTTACCGTGGAATTATATTGTTACCTTGTCAGGTCATATTTCTAATTMAGTAACAATTTATTTCTATTGGTGAATTTACGATAAATGTTTGATGTACTTCTCAGGAGGGTTTTTTCAGGACGAGTTGTCAGAGCTAGATTGCAAAAAATGCAACATCGGCACATTTGTCMAACCCAAGAATGCACCAGCCACCGGACCGCTGACCTGTCAGGCATGTCCACAAGGTAGAAACGAGACCTTCTATTTMCGCTTTKACTATTTTATTTTATAATCTTTTATCGATCTCTACACCTTTTGAACTAAATTCCTTAAATTCTCAGGTACGCAGTCAAGTCAATGGTCAGGATACAGAGCATGCAAATGTCTCCAAAACTTCCATAGATTTGATCGATTTGATCAGTGCTTTCCATGTCCAAGTAAAGGTTTGAATTGCTCCAACGACTACGCCATTCTTTCAGAAGGCTACTACTGGGAATGGACAAATGAAAGCATGAAAARCGACTACGATAGCTACATTACCAACTTGATGATTGAAAGCAGGGACTATACAAGCGGGACGTGGACATTTACAGGGTCKCTTCCAGTGCCTCACAAATGCCCGCGTAAGTCATGCCGCGGTGGACTGAACTCTAGTTGTGACATTGGTTACCATGGTCCTCTCTGCTCACTTTGTGACGTAGGCTACTATAACAGGATGAACAGGTTTGTACTCTGAAATACCAAAGGAAACGCATTCTATATGAAAAAAAAACCTTTAACTGGGTTGAGGAAACTCTCTGGGAGTCATTCAAAAACAGAGCCGAATGGTTTTCATTCATTTAATACTTTGATATCTTACCCGTTATATTTTTTCAGCTGTATCCGCTGTCCTACAAGTCTTTGGGCTATCATCGAAGTGGTCATAGTTATTGTACTGTTTATATTAGTTCTACTGGCCATAATGTGGGGTGAGAATAAGCCGGTATTCGAGCATAACGACAACGAACGAAGAAGAACCATTRCTGATAAGATTTTGTCGTGTTTCAAGATTGTCATTGGTTTTTACCAGGTGCGTTGAAGATTTTTGAGTAAAACTTCCTCGAGGTATAAAAAGCCAAAATATTATGAGATTCAACTATTAGAGTTAGTGAAACCACTAGAATAAGTCCAATCAAGCCCACCCTGACCATTCAATTATTTTCCAGGTAATGTCTGGAGTTTACTCTGCGTCTACTCGAATCGAATGGCCTTCATCTGTTATTTGGATGCAGAAAGCTGTTCAGTTTGTCCAGTTTAATGTCCTGGAAATCGCACCTCTAAGCTGCATATCATCAAAACTGTCTTTCAACGCCATTCARCAGTTCGTCATTGTCATTGGTTTGAATGCTGGCGTTGTTGGTGTATTTCTTGTCTATTTGTTCGTACGAATCMTATTTCTCAGGCGAAGTAGACGGAATCCTTTCGATATCGAAGAAGCTGTTCTAAAAGCTAAAAGTTCAGCCATTCGTAATATCTGTGTTTTTCTGTTTGCGTCTTATCCCAAGACTTGCACGAGTATCATCCAAGTTCTGCCAGTGAACTGCTTGTCTCTCTGCTTTGATAACCAACACGACCATTGCAGCTCGTATCTTCGTGCTGATTTCTCGATTCTTTGCAGCRCAAAACCGAACTACACCAATTACTCGCKGGCTGCTATGGTTTTCCTTTGGTATCCTATCGGCTTTCCTTTGGTCGTGATGATCTTAGTKTGGAAATACGCCTCAAAAGAAAGCACTGAAGATGAAAATGGCGGACAATGCACTGATCATGATGTTCCTTCAAGTGGAGCGTTCACTTTCACGACATCTTCAGCCGAATCTCCATTCAAATCTGGTCTTCGTCTGTTCAGTGAGAACTACAAGCCAAGTTGCTGGTACTGGGAAGGACTGGAGATGATCCGGAAGTTGGTTCTCGTTTCCGGGTTAGCTCTGATTGGTGAACACAGTCGTACCCAGRTTGGTCTCGGCGCAATTGTTTCCGCGCTGTTTGCAGTTCTTTACGTATACAAACGTCCAATCAGAAACAACTTTGAAAACCTTCTGCAAACCATCTCGTTAATGGCGATATTCTTAAATCTTGGTATTGGCACGATGTTGAAGTCATCTGACAACAGCGACGACATCAYTGTGAACAAGCACAATGACAACATTGGTGTCTCAGTGTTGCTGATTATCATTAATACTCTCGTCATTGGCTTGGTTATTGGTGAGTAGTTATATTCATTTATAAGTTATAGCTATATCATAGTACGCGCTTTCTGATTGGGTCAAATTTTATTGTTTATTTTACCGCGGGAATAGTATTCATTTATCAATAAAGATCATAATATTCATCGGCTATTGGATCAATATATATTGTTGTTGATTTTGTTGATTTTTGCTTTTTATCTTAAGCAATTCTATGTTTTTTTGTCCTTTCAGTTGCTTTGATAAGGGTTCTCATTGTGAATATTCATGCATCTTGCTCTGGTCGTGTCAATTGCTGTTTAAGCTGCTGCCTGAGACTACAGTTCTTAGCAAYTGCAGCGCAACATAATAACGAACAAGATCCATTGCTGCCAATAAATTACGGCGTCTAATGGAAAAGATGCTTAAGAAAATACAAAAACGATAGCTATCGATTAGGCTAAACAACTGATTTGTTAGTCTCCTGGTTATGGAACTGAGTCAAGGCAAGGTCAACTTTTAAGTGTACTGTCTTTTTCTCTAGGCTTTTAGCTTATTTCACAAACCAGATCATGCGCAAAGAAAAGTTGCAAAACCCTTGACAAGGTGGAAGGACATGTGCATCTCTTCATGAGAGCAAAAAGTAGGAGTTATCATAATCAAAATTTGATGAGGAGTATGCACTAATTAAATAAACAAATTGCAGCACCCAAGCACCAGCACAAATATGAAATTCAAATCGGTTTGTTAAMTAGTACGTATTTTAGATGTTTTTATCCAGCGACGTACTATAACAAGCATTTGTGTGAATAGTGTGGAGGTCTTTGAACTTTATTTTAAGATTTGTGGAAAATAAATTTTTATGAAAAGATTGCTTGAGATGTCATTCTAGAAAATTAATGATATATGCATATATTGATTCTGTTTATACGAAAATACGTACCAATGTAGAATCATCGTATATTGATTATTGCACCGTTCAAATTATTTCTATCACTATATCATGATCATCAATTCTTTATCGGTCCCAGATTGCCTATATTCAAAAAAATTCCTTTAAACGCTGAATGGCACCCAAGAAACAGAGCGACATTGACCCTGTTCTCAAGTGTCAGTTTTATTAAAAAACTGTGTTAAAATAATATTTGTTCAGCAATAAGCTATGAGTAGGGTTTCTTGCGTTTACTATATTGACTCTAACAATATTAAACAGTATTAAAAGTCTTTCTGTCRATAGATTAAAAACTTAAATTAACAATCTAAAAATACCATATAAACAGCGCTCAGCTGATAAAATACCATCGYGTCTTGTGTAGACATGTCCCGGATACATGTATAGTACTATTTGTATTACACCGTCACCGTTCTGACATGTCATGTCCTGTGGCAGTCCTTGAGGCATTTATTCATTCAAGTCTAAAAKTCTTTCCCTTGCAGGACCCTGTATGAATGTGGATTCACCATATGCCAAAGCTATAGGAGCGGGAGATTGAGTACTCGTTTTTGAAAGAAATAGGCATATGTTTAGTCGTACTTTTAATTAAATACATATGCTAAATTGTTTGAAGAATGTCAGCTTTGCAGCGTTTGGTGTTTTATTGACACCTTCCAAACTCCCTTAGGCTTTTATTTAGCAATCTTACAATTATTTTAACATCCTTGAGTGAATGAAAAACAGTGTGTCAGTATAAAATTGCCTGTTTTTATAACAATATAAGTAGACAAGTAGGATACTCAGCTGTTGGGACAAGGATGTGCACTATTGGTCAGAGAGGAAGGGCGTRCAAATGGTAATCAGTTCTTAACTACATTTTTTTTGGAAAAATAGAAAAAAATCATAAATGCACATTGCTCTCATCTGGCTTTTTATAGAATAGAATATTTCTAAAGAATTATTGAATTTACTTTGTTGTAATAAAACCGAAAAATGTCRTTTGATATTGGAAATATAATGTCAACCTAATAATTTTGTTAATAAAATCTAGCAAATAGTAATATCGAAAGTAGAATCTTTTGATTAAGATAGAATAACATATGAGTCAATATTTGATGGGRAATAGAGCCTTAAATGCTATATTAATTGCAGTAAAAAGCATTGACAACGGTTATTGAGATCATTTTCAAATACAGGATCCAGGAGACTGCACAACTCAGGTAGACATGATCTCGTCAAGAAATGTCATTTTCTCTTGATCTCGTGCTAGTCGATCTATTGAGTGTAATGCCGTCTCATGTAATCATCTCTTAGTCTCCCTACCTTTTCTCCTTGCCGAAAGCCTCGCTCTTGCTCGACGCGTTCTACAAGTCAAGCTTATTTGAGTGTAGGTGTTAAGTGAAACTGTTTCAATTTTACAGTTCAGTAATGTTTAGTGYCGCGGTTGGAATACTTCTCTTAGTGGCGTCGTCCGCGTACGCCATCAGCAAGGGAGCTTACTGCCACAGTGATGATTTTCAGGACTTTGCTTACCGAGTACCTGAGCATTCCTGTCCTTGCAGCCCAAAGACTACTGGAACCCTTCGTTATCACAATGACCAAATCCAATTCTGTAATGGCAAAGATTACGTGAACATGGGTGGCCACAATCATCTTGGTGAACTTGGAAGTGAAAGTAATCCTGCTAAGTCATGTCATAACATCTTGGCTGCCAACAGGTATCTACAACATTTCGCTTCTCTTTGGTAGTAACATTACCAATATCACTATTTTTGTCTTCTGCAGTAAGGCCAAAAGCGGTGTGTACTACCTTAATCTTGGCGGCCAGGTAACCAAGACATACTGCTACATGGAAGAGATGTGCGGATCAAGAGGATGGGCGATGATTATGAAAATCGATGGATCCAAGGTAGATAGTGTTTATTCTTTCTTTAACTTTAACTGAGATGCCTTCCTAACTAGTTTCTCCCTCGGTCTGTTCCTACGTTCCTTTCCCCTTTTTCGTGTGCTTTCCCTAATTTGGTATAGAGCTACACTTATACCTGTTCTATATCAATTTCAGGCCACTTTCAGCTATAATTCCCCGAAATGGACAGACAAACACCCATACAATGAAGCAGCAGCAGCAGGAGGTCTTGACAACCAAGAAACGAAGCTCGAAACCTACCACAACCTYGCATTCACCAAGTTATGTTTAGGCTTRAAGACAAGTGGCATCACTCACTGGCTTGATTTGAGCTACAAGGCCAACTCATTGTACTCGGTGATACATAACAATGTTTACAAACCAACACATCTTGGACGCAATGCCTGGAAAACCCTGATACGTGGGTCATCTCTGCAGAGAAATTGCAACCGAGAGGGATTTAACGTAAGGCAAGGAGATGCCTCCATGGCAAGAATCGGTATAATCTCCAACCAAGAAAATGACTGTCACTCACCCGATTCGCGTATTGGCTTTGGAACTGGTGGTAGCTGGTGTGGCCAAAATAAGCACAACAGCGCTGGAAACGAAGCGAGATGCCACCCTGACAACGGTGACAAGAGTACTAAGAGTTTTGGTTACATTTTTGCTCAACCCCATGTTCACGGCTCTGATTTAGGATCTCACGACAACCCAGCGCCTTCGTGCCGTGCTATTCACCAAGCAAGAAGGTGAGTCATACTGAACTGATTACTGACCAACATAACACTTTGGTAAAACAATAACAGCAATGGATTTGCATTTGGTCTAACGCAAATATATTTCTGTATATATAAATACTTTTAAAGCAAGCTAACCTAAAAAAACGTGCTTTACCATATACAGTTCTGCAAGGAATGGTGTATACTATCTGAAACTTGGTGGTCGTCTGGTCAAGACGTTTTGCGTCATGGACAATATTTGCGGGTCAAGAGGATGGACTATGGTTATGAAGATTAACGGAGGAAAGGTTAAATAAAAGCATGAATTAAGCAAAGAAAGAATCATGACTGATATTTTCGCTTCACCTATGAAAATTTACCAAAATTGGTTTTGCTTCCCGAACGCCTTTTGTCTCAATATTCAGGTTATTTCCAAGATCTGAAAACATCTTTTGTAATAGGCATTTCGACGATCATGATAAGCTTTAAAAGAGTGATATGGGATTGCGTCTCTTTACGGGCGTATCCAGGATTTTCATTGGAGGGGTCCTTACATACCAAATTGTTACTCTGTTTCACGCTTTTTTGGCTTTGAAAGGCGGGTCAAGGGCACCATGTGACCCCCCCTTCCCTGGATTTGTACAGTTTTTTTGTGTAATAGAATTTGCTTCATTTGTTTACAGACCACATTCGGATATAACTCAGCTTACTGGAAAAACAAGGCAGTATATAATCCCTCTGGTGCTGTTGGTGGACTTGATGACCAAGAAACAAAGTTGGCAACTTATTCAGACTTGTCATTCAAAGCCCTTTGCTTGGGAATGAAGACTGGCCACACAAAAAGATGGCTGAGACTACCTCAAGCGGCTTCATCCCTGTATTCTTTGATTGCTGATGATAAGCAAAGAGCTGTCACTCGTTTGGGTCGTAACAAGTGGAAGACGTTGATTCCAGGTTCCTCTCTCCAGCCACATTGCAACCGAGAAGGATTCAACGTAAGGCATGGCGAAGCAGCGAAGGCAAGAATCGGTATAATCTCAAACCAAGAAAACGACTGTAACTCACCCGATTCGCGTATTGGCTTTGGAACTGGTGGCAGCTGGTGTGGCCAAAACAATGGCAACAGCGCTGGTAACGAAGCGAGATGCCACCCTGACAACGGTGACAAGAGCATCAGGTCCATCGGTTATATTCTCGTCCAGTAAAAGAAAAACATGTCACAGGAACCAATGTGGAAAAGGATTTTGTAGAATCTAGAAATCTAGACACATGATGTAAGAAAGACGAGACATCATTAAAGCATTATAAAACTTGATAGTAAAATTTCTACTGCATTATACCACATCATCAAATTGATGAGAGGGAAAATAAAAAAGTGAAAACAAAACAGATAGAGGAGCAAACAAAATGCACACATTAAAGAAAATGTTTAATCTATGTTCACCTTAAAATTTTTTGATAGTGACTAGTTGTAAAATTCTCACAAATTGAACCAAACCTCCACAGTACAAACGATGTATGTATACAGGCAGCCCAAAATTATGCATCAAGAGAGGGTTTTTTGAGAAATATGTCAAAAAATATCATGACGCAGAAATATGTAAAGTTTGAATATAACATCTCTTACTTAGCGTTGTATTTTAAGCACGTTTCCGAGAAGTATTTGACTCACTATTAGTGCTCCAATATTGAGACACCCAAGAAGAAATATCATTTTAGAAATGTCGTTATATCGGTAAAAATGCCTAAACTCAGAACTTCTGGTCTACCTGTGTGCATGTGCTTACACAATGAAAAGTTAAGATTTTATTTTCCTACATACATTTGCTGTGTCCATTTACTAATTTATATAGTGTCTAGAACTTCTCAATGGGTTTCAATTGAAGATTTTCGTTTGGTACCTAATTTTCCCATTCTGTGCCTATTCGCTGTACACCCTGTAAGTGGGAATTGTCTACAATTGTTCAATTCAGGAAGTAAGGTGTCTAATTCTTTCCAAATGAAACTGCATCTTCTAGCAGTGGTTTTACATTGTGAACGGCAGGGTCCCAACGGCTCGTAATCGCTGGAACATCTTGGAGCATATAATGAACACATGAACAATTCAAGATTTCGTAGACATTTTCTGCTYCCATTTTTCTTAAACATGGCAATACGGTACTTAATTGCTGTGTTTACGGTTTGAAACGACTTGGACATGTTTGACAAAGTAGCTGTCAGGTAATGCTTCCTGCAAACGTGGTCAACAGAGACTTCCTGGCAGCCATTGGTTCCTGGAAATGAAAGGAACGAAGACTCAGATACGGTGACACTGGAAAAAATCGCGCGCTTTAAAGGTTGTAAATTTGATGTAAATATGATGTAAGTGTCCAAAATTCTGTAAATTTGATGTAAATGATTTCCATTAAATTTACAGAATTTTGGACACCTACATCATATTTACATCAAATTTACAACCTTTAAAGCGCGCGATTTTTTCCAGTGTGAACTCATGGTTTGAACAGCGAATATTTATGAAATAGGTTTTCAGGGCAAGCAAGACAACAAAACTATGATCTAGACGAAGTTCAAATGAAGTTTTTCTCACCTAAATGCACATCAGTTGACTGAACTGGCTTTGGTGTTGGTTTGGCAAACTCGACCAAATCTGAAAGAATAATCCTTTGCAACAGTAGCTCTATTCAACAATATAGAACCGCATTTTCACCGTACAATGCGGATATTATTACAAGTAATTCCATGTTACGTATGTGGTTGAGTCCGCACAAGATAGATGTGATTAGTGCTCAAATCTATATTTAAGAAATTCGTCTTACCAGAGTTGGGATAGTAACAGGTTTCTTTTCCATCTTCCGGAAGTTTCTCACAATCCATGGCTTCGGGCCAAGTGAACTTGTATGTTTGCATTAAAGGGCCACATTCTCGATTAACCTTCTCGCAAAGTGATCGGCAAGGTAAGATGTTGCCTTTTATTGTTGCTTTATTCCTTGGTAGTAAGTCGGTACAGACAGGAGTATAGAAAGAACAAAGAAAGTGTGTGAAGAACTTAGAGCATTGGACTTCCACCAAAGGCCAGTAGTGGTAAATTGAACGGTCAACATCGTGTTGGTGAGTTTGATTAAAGTAGTTAGGAAACTGAATCCATTTGTACCCCACCCCATTACACATGATTAACTTAAGTTTCTCGCATCTTCCTGATAATGGTGAACGCAGTCCTGCAGAGGGCACCCCGGTTCTTGATAATGATCGTGTGGTTTGTGAAGGTGGTAACGCTACAGCAGTTGGTGGTGGGTAATACTTGGTACTTGTTCCGGTTGAAGACATTTGTAAAGAGGAAGGTGTAGTTCCCAGTGTTGATTTTGGAAGTGGTGTGGTACGCGTAGCCGATGGTACAGGGTTTGGCGCCGTTGATGGTGGAGAAGTCTGTTCTGAAGTGGTTGATGACAGTTTTAAGGATGAAGCAGTGGAGATATCTATTCCTCCATTATTGATATTTTCGTTTGTTGACTTATTTGTTGCTAACGTTGCTGATGCTGTTGTATGTACACCATCTGTAGTCATCGTTTCAGCTGTTGTGACATCTTCCCTAGATTGTTCTTCAGTTATAATTTTCTCTTTACTAAAATCAGCTTTCCCAGTTGAATTCACCGTGGGAATTATGTCTGTACTGGTCTTTTCATCTGTTATTGATTTAACTGTAGGTCTTTTTGTTGATGGTTCAGTAGAAATATTCTCTGTAATGATTGCAGCTTTCAGTGTTGATGGTTCAAGAGTAGTTTTCTCAGTTTTCTCAGTTTCTGTTTCAGTTTTAACTTTTTTCGTACCAATTGTAGATATGATATTACCATCAGTTGGTATTTCTGCAGTTGTGATGTTTTTCAGAGATGTTTTAGTTCTTGGTGTCGCTAATGTGCTGATTGGACTCAGCGAGGAACTGGATTCAGGTTTCCTCGTCTTGGTTTTTATTTCCATTTCAGTAGTGGGTGTTGTTACACTCGTTAAAATACTACTTGTGGTTGACAATTCTGGTTTGTCACCATTGCGACCTGAAATCAAAGTCAGCTTATGAATAACACATTTTTTAAAGCAATTTATATTATGCTTCCAGAAGTGAAGTTAACATAAAAACAATTGATGCACAGAGGAGTAAGTAGACATTCCAATTTCTTGTAATCCAATTTGGATCACTTTCAGTCACATTAAACTCGGAGGATGGAATAACAATGAGCGGGTAAACTAATAAGCAACATCTTTTGTTGGCTAATGACCATGAGTCTTGCAAAAGATGCCAATCATGTATATCGTATTGAATTGAAAGCGACATGGTATCAGAAATTTACACTTACCAAAAGAAACACACATTGTTTTGCCAACTTCTGGAAAGTTATCACAATCCAATTCAGCTGGCCAGATGTCATTGCTTTGCAAGTTGCAACTAGTCTTTGTTATAGTGCACATTGAGCGACATGGTAGGATAGGTAAATCGATTAATACACTACAATAAGGAAAATTGACAGCACAGAGAAACCGCTTTAAGTTCACCCGGTCTTTACAAACCGAAGCCATCACTGACCAAACGTTTTCTACGTGTTTTATCATCTGTCGTTGATCTTTTTTAAATATAACCTTTGTATTTTGATACCCATTATCACTGCATATGGAATCGGGTATAATACGCTCACATCTCCCTTCTGGTTCAGCCATAGTTGGTCGTGGAGTTTCCATAAGAACTGTGGTAGGTGACATAGTTGATTCTTTTTCTTTTGTGTCGGTTATCAGTTGGTAAGTTGGCTTTGCGCTCTTTGGAGGCGCCGCCTCTTTTGGTATAGCGGTACTAGGTCTTTTACTTTGTGTTGATGGCGACGTTCCTTCACTTGGATGGGTATCTTGAAACGTCGTTGAAATCTCTTTAATGGTTTGTGTTGGTGCTGTTTGGTAAGTGCTTGGTGCTGACGTTGGAGGGGTCTGTGGTGTTGCTTGGTGAGTTGTTTTTAATTGTGTGTCATTAATTGTTTTTGGTCGAGTTTGATGTGTAATTTGTGAAGTTGTATAGTGAACAGGTTGTGATGTTGTGAATCGTTCGGTAGTTTGTGATGAAATTTGGTCTGCAGTTTGTGACGATGTTTTGTCGGTATGATGTAGAGTTGTTTGGTGAATTGGTGATGTTGTCTTCTTAAAAGTCTGCTTTGACGTTTGCCGTGAAGTTGATACTTTGGTACTTTTGGATGTAGTTGATTGTTCACTAGTTTGCGGTAAACTTTGTTGGGTTGGTTGTGGTGAGTCATAAGTAGTTGTTTGATCGGTGGCTTGTGATTTTATCACTTGTTGTCGTGTAGTTACTTGTTCAGTAGTTTGATGAATACTTTGATGCGTTCTTTGATTTGAGACTTTTGATGCCATCGTCGTTGTGCGGCCAAGTGTCGAAGGTGTAGTTTTCAAAGTCACTGTTGTTTTAGGTACTGGTCCTGTGACACCGATGGATTCAGTCTTTTCCATTACCCATGTACTATAAGGCCCTTTTCTTGTCTTAAGCAGTGCAGCAAGCTTAACCTTGTACACAGTACCAGGACGCAAGAACTTTAATTCGAACTTTCGATAGTGTCCCTTCAGAAAAAATAAATTAACATTTAGGCTACTAATCTGGTTGCTCAACTTTTATGCACATATCACACTGGACAGGACGGCCAGAAACACTATGAAAACACCAACGTGGATAGCCTTTGGTTTAAGTGCATTGTCTTTAATTTAATGATGAGTTGTTTATTTAATTTGTACAAAGCGCGCAATTATGACTATACTAGAATAACTACTGATGTATACAATAAACTATATAATATAGTGTAGGCAAACAGTATATGCCATATCTTACCGGCAGCACAAGGGACGTTTTCATGAAAAATGGTGAGTACAAAGGACTGTAAATCAAGCTAAAGTGTACTACATCCGAGGGACGCATTCCTGGTGGTAGGTTCCAGGTCACGAGCAACTGGTTATAAGGCCTTGGTTTCACATCCACTACAGGTGCCGCAAAACTAACGGCGTAGGGTTTGGTACGAAAACGAAGAGAAGGTCCCGGATCTACATTTGGCGCCTTAACGCGGACTCGGTATGAGGTGTCCGGATTTAATCCATGAATCATTGCTGTGTTGGTTTTCTTGGAAATTTGAAAGGTTCTTGAGTGTTCGAAGTCTTTGCCATATTCAACGATGTAGTGATCGGATTTTGAATTGATATCTGGCCATTCTATTAGAGCACTATGTTGGCTTGTGTAAACTACTGAAGGTTTTGGTAGCAATGAGTCTGTATAAGAATGAAAAATCAAAGCAAAATCATCAGAAAGCATAGGAAGCATTTCGAAATAAATTACCCAATAAATGGCCGCAAATAATCGACGTCGATCCCCTTACTAAAGTATAAACCTAAGCTGTGCAGAATCCTGGGAGGTGCATGAAAAAAGTAAATTGACGATAACTTGAGATGTCCCATTAAAAGGATTTTTAAAAAAATCTTTGGTGGATCATCAAGAACATTCATTTATGAGGAGTCTATCACTTATAATCTAAAGGGGAATAGTATTTCCTTTATCAGATTGTAATATATGGGATATCCGGACACCATCACATGATGAAGGCTACTGTGCAGTTTGTAGTCGAAGAGTCGCAGTATCCACGGCACAATGATCTTTATCATAAAACAAATGATCAAGTGTCCTGATATTCATTTGTAATTTACTGCGATTTTATCTTGTGAACTTGTAGAAAGTATTATTAATTGATCAATGATGGCTTAGCGACCACTTCAGGCGCGGATTCAGGGGAGGTGAAGGGGGGAGGGGGGGGGGGTGGGAATTTTTCCCTCTTTTTCTCACTTAGTACAGAAAGGCTTTCTGATTCATCCTTACTAGTTGTGTAACATTGTCGTATAAGTTCTATATTCAAGACTATTGAAAACTTTCCTTAAACTATGTGTTTTTAGTGTTTTTAAAATATATTTGGATCAGTAAATTCGATTCCCCCCTCTGGGAACTTTCTGGATCCGCTCGTGCACATTAAGTCAGCATAATATCGACAAAACTGCCATTCTTGTATCTAAAAGGGCATCGAATACCGCTCGATATCATCGGACATYGCACTACAACTTTGTAGGCCTCTTTTTATGACTTAATGATAAAGTAATTTTGTCTTATTAAAACGGTGAGATAGGCATATCATGCATTTCATTCGATTCACTTTTGAAAAAGAAACATTTCTGGACAGCCCCATGAACTTAAATATGAAAATGAAAAAAGACTAAACTCTCAAGGTCTCTCTTTTAGATTATCTTTCCAGAAATAGCACTTAGTTCAACTAGCATTTGTTTCCAATCTTTCAATGTCTTATCTTGTAAAAGACCATGTTTTCAGTTATTGGGTGAAATCCGATCAAACAAGTGAGAAGCCAAATTGACAATTTATGAGATACTGAGATCCCATGCATTCTATCGCTTATTTTTAGCAGTGAAGCTCGTTGAGACAAACCAACTAAAAGTTGTACTAGCCCGGTGGACATTTGTTTTGTACTTATTAAGGCGGATTCGCACGGGACGATCGGCTTGACTCAAATCAGACGTCAGATGGGCTCCAAATCTAGCCCTTACTACGACCATTGTAGTAGAAAAATCGAATAATTCAAGTCGCACGCGACAATCGTACCGTGTAAATCCGCCTTATATATCAAGCTCCTTCATTTCATTGCAATTCTTCGCATGGAAAGTAGATATAATGTTTCCACGTGTCCTATTCTGATGATACTACCGAGTTTCTCCTTTCAGAGTTAATGGTTTTGTTGGCTGGGTGTATATTTTTCGTGGGGGCGACGGATGTCAGTAATTTAGTGCTCTTTTAATTTGCTAAATAAGATCAGGCACTCGTTGTCTGTCGTATTTAAGTGGAGTTTGCTCATTTTCGTATGGGGCACTGAAAACAAAACCAGTTTCAAACGCCGAAGTTCACATGTGTAGAGGCAATTCAGGGATTATTATAATCCCTTTATGTACATCGTCAAGGTAAAATTCTTTATTCGAAATAAGTCTCTGAATACACAAAAACGCCTCAAGGAGTAATTTATAGGACATAACCAGACAATGTCATTGACTTTTTAATTTTCCAATTTTCACTGATACGTCTGTTCGCGACTGCATTCAAATATGGAGTTAATCTAGTCGAACTGTTCTCAATGAAAGATTATGACATAATAACCGAAAGGCATCATTTTCGTTAAAGCTGTTGATGTTTATCTATAATACTCAAGTCTGAGATTTTCAATGAATTGATGTCAGACTAGAGAATTATGAAATGAAGAACGGTACTTGAAAAGGGGTCGTAACGTATCCCCGGACTGGAAAAAAACAGAAGCCAGCAATGTGCCAGCCTTCAAGTTGTTGAAACTAAGCCCTCTTAATGATGATTCTTAATCTCTGAAAATTCTGAATATTAAGTCATCTGAAACGTAAATATGACTCATTAGTTTTGCCAACATTTGATTATTTGTGTTAACGAGATTCGGAAATTAAGGAGAGAAAAATCCCATGTTTCGATAAGATGCGCTTTAGCTGCCATAGAAAAAGTACATCGCGTTGAAGCGCTTCTTTCCATGCCTATCTTCCCTGATTGCCCTTTTAAAAAAGCGAATCAAATGAAAACCTTTGTGATTTTTCAGCCTAAGCTTTTGCTTTTAATGCCACTATTTAAGTGAAGTGCAGTCGGGATGAGAATGGAGATTTTTAGGAAGGTCATGGCCTGTGCTAATACTTCTAATCTAGACCAAAAAATCTGTTGCCAATACTGCATTTGATTTATACAGGATTTACAATTCGACTGGCTGAAATTGGATAATAGGTGTCTGCTTGGTTGTATGTCTTGTAGATAGCTTTCTAAGCAAGTTTTTCTAATGAGGAACGAACACTTGCCAGCTCGCTGTTTGCGTTGATTAGAGCAGGGGAGAGTTAATCCTTCCAACTGCGTGTGTGATAGTGTCATGTCACGGGTGTAATCGCTTCAAATTAAATCCTCCTCTATACTTCAATACTGATTAGGACGCCTGTACTACTGCAAATCCTTACTATTCGTATCGATTCCCGTTGCAACGTCAACTTTGATTAGACAATTATACCTCTAGCTTTTATAATGGCAATTCTGTATAAATGGCATCAATAAACCAATCTATACTATACCTGATGCCGACGAAGGTGATATAACGCAAACAAGCAAAACTTGAATGACTTGGATAGTAGCCATGCAGGATATTTATCCAGAAAATACTCCCTTCCCCTTATATCGTGTTTGTTTGATCAGTGAGTCAACATTGAATGAACACCAATTGTCAAACAGTTTATAACAGACCTTTATTAACTTTGGTAACGTTTATATATTGACAGTATTCCAGGGGGGGTTCGGTTGTTTACAAAACTACTACTTAGAACCCAGGTCTGAAAGAGTATAGTCAACAACAATTTAGATGATCAAGAAGACTGAAAGCATGTTATTTTTATCCGAAATGAATTTTTCTTGAAATTCATTTATCGAAGGACTAGACATCGTCTAAAACGTTATAAAGGAAATATTAGTTGTCCAATCGTGTTCATGACAGTTGGTGATGTTGCTATTTTTACCCGACAATATTAATAAGGTCAAATACGTTTATATGATTGTGATCGTCTGCCGTGTATGAGTACCTTTCGTCTTGCTTTGATTAATATTACCCTTGTTTCATGTTGTTTTTTTCAGTGTTTGATCTCAAGGAACGTTTCCAAAACCGGATCTGTCTAGTACCCTTATGACATTTTGAGGGTATTCCGCTCCCTCCCTAAGAACCCCCGGCTATAGTTTATATGATTCATTAACTATTGAGAAAACAACCAATCTTTCGCCTCCTGGATACAGCAGGGTCGATTCTCTTTGGTAGTTACTGGAATATAATAATACAATACCGTCGATTCCCACTTGTGCCCCGATTGCTGATCAAATTACTGTAAATTCACTTCTCTCCGTTATCATTTTGCATACTTTCTATAAAGAAAAAAATTATCGATCGTGATGATTTATTCAAATGATTGACATAAAGCATTGCATTGAATAGTTATGAAAAGGTTTGAGTTACAGCGCACGCGCATGTGGAGTATAACGATTTCTTAGATTTCTGTGGGGTATGTGGTAGACGCATGCAAATCTGCAAAATATTACTAAATTGAGAAAATTAAAACATTCAGTGTAATCCAAAAAAGATCCCATCAGGTATGAATTGAGAACAAATGGGATAAAAAAAATCAAAATTTTCTCTCATTTTTTTAAATTGTGCTTAAAAAAGCCGCAGGGCTCATTTTTGTTAGTTTGCGATTTTCATTTTTAAAACTTGTAATTGGCAGAATTACTATCAGAAAAAATAATGACTAATTTTCAGAAGCGACCTCACTGGGAGACGTTGAATAGCAAGTGCTTAACGACCCTTATGTGATTACTGTTTACAAGCTTCAGCATCTTGTGGTATCAGATGGAAAGTAATTAAGTTACTTCATGACAAGAAGGGGCTAATTTAACATAATTAACGTCTCCACACATGACTTCCATTTAAAAATCAACCGTGTATTTCATGACGACCGAACTCACAGAAACAGCTACGACCTAACCGCAAAAATGGTAAAAATTGTAACCCAACCCACTAGGACCGGCTAAGAGCTATCTCGCTGGGATTGGAATGCATGACGCTTCATGCTTTATAACGAGTTTCTGACTACCCGTACCGAAACTAAGCAATTCTATCAGATTTTTGAAAAAAATGTTGTTGTCTCAGTTGACATCATATGCGATTTTTCTATTTCTTGTGATATTTTCTCTTTATTTCTCACTATTATTATCATTATCAAATTTTTTCAACGTACAAAGTACAAGTTGTCCGACTGATGCATTTGCATATATCATGAAAATTTGAAAAATTTGTACTAATTTGAAGAGTGAACTAAAAATAAAAATTTGGATGTATTGGAGCTTAGGTATTAGTTGTCACATTATCCCATTTTTCTTTTTTGTATAAAAGTACGGGCTTCCTGTGCTACTACGAGCCGTACTTACCTATTGCTTCAGCGGTAGTACGTGAGAAAACAAAATGGCGTCTACCAGTGAAGTTGAATGTTCTGGACTATCAAGGGATGTCTGGCTTGTTAAGGTTCCTTTTAGCTTTATAAGACTTAATATAAGCTTAGTAGTAAAGGTTATGAATGTAATTGTGAGAAAAAAAATGCAACATTTATCTGGAAAATAGTATAAAGCTCTTGAGTTTATACCAAAGTCAGACCGACTAGAGCTGCTGATTTTGTCCATTGTAGGTACCAAAGTTTTTGTCTAATTTGTGGATGGAAAAAGCAGATGAAACTGGAATTGTTGGAAGTCTAAGGATCAGTCAGTGAGTATCTATTATTATATTTAGCGTGTAAAAGTGTAAATAACATCTAATTATGGCTGTTTTGTTTTTTAGAAATTCACAGAAAAATGAGGTAAGATGCTGTTGACTGACTAGAGAGGAAAAAACTTTGCAAATCCATTGTATTTTGCTCAAAAGAACTGAGAATATAATATTTTCTATTTATCTCCTCCTAAATAGAACTGTGCACCAGGGGTTAGTTGTCAGAAAACTCCCTTTCGTACAGTACAACTGTCAGGAGAATATGCAATATGTATTTTATTAAGAATATTCAACTATTTTTTGCCAAAGTTTGATTCTTCAAAAGCAAGCATATGGAGAAATTCTTTGAGTAATTATAATTCTTAGTCTATTAATTTTAATCCCACTTTTTGCTTTTGTAGATCAAATTCAATTTAGCAGAGTCATTAGCAGGTGGTGGAGATTCTGATAAAGCAAAAGTCCCAAGAGATTACAGGTTGCTGATGTCCAAGGTTGACCAGTCCTTAGTTGTTTTTTCAAAAGGCCAAGCAGGTAAATTAAGAATGTAATTTTTATTGTAGTTTTACCATTACTTGATATTGTTTTCTTTTGTAATAGGAAATGGTGACACAACAGACACATCAGAATCTGGTAATACATTTGCTTTACTAATTAGTGATATTTTATACATTTTTGACATGATAAGTTCTTTCTCTATAGTTCTTTATTTGTTGAATGGAGCCTGCTAACAATGATTATTTATTTTTTATCATACTTTATATATACTTATAGAGAGTGACGCATGCAAAACACTCAGTTTGCTTAAACGTCAATAATAAAACAGACATATTTAAGCTTAAAGTTGGTGTTTTGTCTTACTTCATTCGACTTATGTTTTAGATAAAATATCCTTAGAGGGAAAAGTAGTTCAAAGAGCAGATTGTAGACCAATAAACTCAAATGCAGAATATATGTTATTGAAAAGGTAGGCACTGGTAGTCCATGAGTGTTTTGTAAAAATATGTGGTCAAATGATCAGCAAAAGTCATTTCCCTTTTTCAACCATGTTGTTTACAATCAACTAGTGGTCCATCACAAATAAGACCTTGAAAACTATTATTTTATATTCTTTGGATTGTCCTTATGTACTGTATTGTCCTATTTGTTCACATGTAGATCCTGTATGAAAGCTCTAACAATATTTTGTCAAAGTAGCAATACTTGTAAATGGATCATCGCCATAGATATAGTGCACTTTTTTCATTGAAAAAAAGTGTATCGTTATTATGTATTCATAGCTTGTCTATTAGCTTATCAAGTGATGACACCATTTTATAAACTTTTCTTGAAAGGGAATCCATCTTAAGTGCAAGCAAACCAGCAAGACAGGCAAAACAACTTAAGAAAATTGTCACTAGTTCTTACAAACCAGTATCTGATCATAAAATGAATGTAAGTCTTGTATTATATACCGTGTCAGCACTGGAATGTATTTCATGGGCTCCCTGTGTTGATCATGCATGTGTTTGTGTCCTCTGTGTTAAGAATAAAATTGAGTGTGCACTCCAATGTGGTGTCTTCAATTGAGATGACAAATAACAAGCTTAGTTATTTGATAAATAATTTAAAAATGATTGATAAATGTTTTCTGGAGAGAAGGTTACATCCTCAGGAATATTCTTCTGTTGTATTACCCCATTCCCGAGGATAAAAAAGTATGGGTTAGTGGTCAGTCAATGGACAATGCTTGGTCTTTAGTTTGACCAGATTTTTAGATTTTTAAAGGAAAAACTAAGGTGTTTTGAATGGAGAATCTACTTGCGAGATTAAGAAATTATTGATTGATTAATAAGTTCATCTGTAAATCTAGATGTATTGATTGTTCATTTTTAGATTGAATATGAGAAAAAGAAGAAGGAAGAAGGAAAGAGAGCAAGAAGTGATGAAGAAGAAGTAAAAGCTAAACTTTTCCATGCATTTGGTCAACATCAGTATTATAACCTGAAAGACTTGGTGCACATCACAAATCAACCTATTGTAAGTTCATAAAGAATAATTATCTAATTGCATTAGTGATTCTCTCTGTTCTTGAGTTTTTTTGTGTATAAAATGAGGACAATAGGGGAGATTGGCAAGTACTTTCCTGTATTTTGAAACTGTAACAAAGGAAATCCAAGGGGTGAAATAATAGACCTATTCGGCTAACGTGTCGCTATGTATGTTACTACCCAATTCAAATCCTGTGGGAAAAAGAACTTTTGTTTCTAAGAATTCAACTGTGAAATGAAAATACAATGAACAATGAAACTTACTCCTGGGTGGTTTGAATTGGGTGGAAACGTTTAGCCGATTAGGTCTATGTTACTGGTAGCTTTCCCAATACTTTGTATAAATTGATGGATATCCTCATTACCATGTCAAAAATATTTCACACTTTAGTTGTCATGAGTAAAACATTTAGAATTACAAGATGTCATTATTTCTTTAGGCAGGAAATATCCTCTTTCATCACTCAAGACATGCTATACTTTTCTGTTTGATAGTGACATTAATAACAATTAAATAATTAAAATGTATTTCCAGTATAATTTAAGAAAGTTTTGCATTATTACTATTTCAGGTATATCTTAAAAGCATCTTGAAGGAAATAGCTCACTACAACACCAAAAATCCACACAAAAATATGTGGGAACTTAAACCAGAGTATCGACATTATGAAAAACATTCTGATGATGACAAACAGTCATAGGAATTATCAACTAGGAACACATTTAATAATTTTACCTATGATCCATTAGACTGATTCCACCAGTCYGTMTGGTCGCTTTTTTTCAGTGAGAATTCAAACYGACAAACGGAAACTACGACCTATGGAATCAGTCTAATKATCCATATGACATTCAAGACTTATTCAATGTATGTAAATACCAGTTTCATCTATTGTTGTTTAATAATTGTTGTGAAATACGTAATATATATATCATAAAATATTGTATCAATAAACTGAGCTCTAAGGTAGATGCTATAAATAGGTAATTAGCCATTATGTAAACATTAATAGGCTAACAGGAAAATGAAATAAAAGTGTCAAATGATAGAATTGCATGAAGGTTTTTATTATTTAAAAAGAGAAGTGCAATGGGTTAAACGTTTTGTATGTGTGTCTCTGTACATGTATTCATAACACAAAAAATGGCATGTCCACACAATTTGAGTTTTCTAGAGATATATTTCCTAATGAGTTGTATATAAACCTACGTGCAAGAACGTTTTTTCTGAAAGATAATTTTCGTAATTATTTAGGAATTAATTAAAATCCATAACAAAGGATTCAGCTTGAGTGATTTTTCTTGTCTTTTAGTTTATTCCTGTTACAWTAAATCACTAAATCTTAGGACAACCATTTCGTAATTAGGTGTAACTGAAATATGAAAATTGTGATATTTCGACATAACGAAACCAGAAACAGCATATTCTTGCGACAGGTTTGTTTCACTGGATGTCTCATATTTACCCTCTCCTCTCATGATAGCAAATTAAGGTATTTCCTTGAGGAAGTTTAGTATCGTCCAATCGACCAATCAGAATGCAGTATATCMATGACATCATTCGCGCTTTCCTACTTCATGCGGCACTTGCTCAGCTCGTAGTGAAAGTCGGCAGCAAGGTTTTTTGTTTGTTTCAGATAATCTAATTTTTTACACTATTTCATCATGAGTTGGCAAGCATATGTAGATACAAATCTTCTAGGCTCTGGGAAGGTTCAACGAGCTGCGATTTTCGGTCATGATGGGAGTTGCTGGGCTACAAGTGCAGGATTTTCGGTGAGTGCTAAGTTAACTCGTGTGAGAGGGAAGGTGTGATTTTAGCGAGAAWTAAGCTACTATAAATCCTTAAAATTATCAGTTAATTGGGTGTCAATTTAAAATGATTTAGAGGAGATTCACATGTAATACGAGGCGTGACAAAAACATTCCTAATCTTTGACAACGAATCATGCTCAAAATATTCAGCTTACTCAAATCATCACTTTAAGGATCTCAAATGCGACGGCGGGAAAATCTTGGCTTTTGCGCACGTTTTGACAAAAAAATCCTAGCTTTGCATAAGATTACATTTAAACAACATGTATTTACACTACTGGCGAATTTTAAGTCTTTCAACGATAAAAATTCTTCTGAAACTAGCCGGAAATAAATTTTTATTTTTTTATGCTGTTGGCTGTTGTCCTAGTAGTCCTAGTGTGCCTATTCTTGTGGAAAAGTTAATTCGTTCTATCAGCAGTGCTGTTTTGTGCTGGCTGAGAATGATTAGTTTTTTTGGAAAGACTTTTCAAACGCCATAATAAGGATTGATGTCCTTTGGTGCTCTTGCCAGGACGCGTTTATCGAAGTCAATTTTGGAAGCTTTCATAGTGTATTTTCATACTTATTTGTCGTGTTTGGTTTAGATGATTGATAAATATTCTGAAGTCATTTCCTAAT